CTTCTGGCTTCTTTTTATTTATTTTTTTACAATTGAAAACAGCAACAAAATGGCTTATTCGCTTTCCAGCGACGCCCCTATAATCACAACACGCTGTGAATGCTCATCCCATTCTTTTCATTTCAGCCAAGTGTTTCATGGGCTGTCAAGTGCCAGTTCCACGGAGCCCTGGCCTGTAGCGCCCGAAGGGAGGGCTTGGCTTGTGTGCGCAGTTAAATGCAGGCCCTGCCCCCATTCCCGGTGGGATTGCACGGGGAGGCTCACCTGAAGCAATGTGCTGCTGTGAGGATCCAGCTGGGCCCAATGATGCTGCCCCCACAGAGGTGCTGGGTTCTGTGCTGTAAGCTGACCTGCCACGGCCAGGCCTCAATCCTGGCCAGGCCCCCGCCAACCACTCGGGGAGACTTGATGCTTTGGCCACAGGCTGCGTCCAAGGACCGGGAAGAGACAGCAAGTCAATAGCTGAGCTCAGCACGTGAGAGCGTGAGCCCTGCCCACCGTGCCACGCCCGAGAATGTGCCACGCCCGAGAACGTGCCACCCCCATAACGTGCCACCCCCGAAAACGTGCCACCCTCGATAACGTGCCACCCCCGAAAACGTGCCACCCTGAGAATGTGCCACCGCCGAGAAAGTGCCACCCCCAAGAACATGCCACCCCCGAAAAGGTGCCTTTAGACATGTTCCAGACTGGTGTGTGCAGAGCGTAAGCCTGGGCCACACGACTGGGGATGAACACAGGGATCTGGTTGTGTTTTGCCTTCCGTTGACACCGCTGGGCTCACACATACGTCACAGACTCTGCACTTTCCCCAGGCTTGCTTAAATCAACGAGTTTATTCCCTTCCCTTCCCAACGGTTCCCTTCATGGGCTTAGCAGAATGAACGACTGTGACGTAGTGGGGGGACTTGCTGGGCTGTGGTGACCTCTGCTGTCTGGAGCAAGACCCAGCAGGGAAAACCTCACTATGCAAAGGTAACTCAAAAACCTGTCTGACCTGCCGCCCCCATGGGGAGAAACAAAGGGAGGTGGATGCTGCCCTGGCTGTGGGCAGGGCTGGAAGAGGGGGAGTTAGTTCCTGGCTGGAAAGCAGGGGAAAAGGAACTGGGAAGGGGGCTGGGACCCCCCTATCTCAAGGGGGGCACTGAGGCCTCTTAGCCCCAGTTCCTGTAACCAGATGACATCTGTGCTGCGCTGTGCTGGAGGAACAATAAACAACCTCCATTCTACTGGCTGGTGGAGTCTGTTCATGCCATTTCAGGGTGCAGGAGATGGGAAAATCCCGACGCGTCGTCACAACGACATTAAGCCCGGCGCAGACCAGCTGCTCTTCCTTCCACTGCTCCGTAACCGCCAGCGCAGGCAGCTCCGGGCTGCTTCCCCCCCGCTCCACCCCCCCCACAAAGCCACGAGAACGGCGCCTGCCCCACTGCTGCCCCATAGTCAGTACTAATAACGGAGCCAGACTTACCGGCACATACCAGCGAAACAACGGCCCCCGAGAGGGTGAAATGCTGCGCCTCTCGCAGGGCGTCTCTGCCCGTGGGCCGGAGGGCGTGTGCCCCACAGTGCTAAGTACGCGCGGCCTCCGGCCCATGGACTGGAACCCTTTGTGCCCTCAAACCCCGGGGCTTGCGCGGAGGCCTGCAGCGGTGCTGGTTCCCGACTGGCCGCCCCCAGAGCCGTGCAAAGGCCCCATGGACCAGCACAGCAGCGGTTTAACCTGCACTTTGCAGGCACCACCCCAGAGACGATTCACGCTGCTGGTCTCCCCACCCGGCTACACGTTCCCCTGCTCTGGCAAGGGGCAGCCGTGTTCCTAATGGCACCCGGCTACGCTGTGCCACAGGGCAGCCAGGGCCAGCTGCCAGGCGCTCCCCACGGGCACTGGCTGGCAGAAAGGCCCGGCCAAGGCCTGGAGGCCTGTCCCATGGGAGTGGGGGTGGGGCTGTGCAGCTCTGGGCCAGCCCAGGGTCAGTGACGCCGCAGCGCAGCCGTGAGGCCCAGCGTTGCTGGCCGGTCAGATTGCAGGAGCTGGTCACGCATGGGAATCTCTCTGGCCCTGGCCCCAAGGGATTTCAGTAGCGCTCTGGGGCCAGCAGCACTAAGAGCTCAGGGTGGCGGGGAGCTGGCCAGCCAGGAAGGGTGGAGGCCCTCCTGGGAACCGTCCGCAAGGGGCGTGCCAGCCAGCTGTGTTGAATCCCAGGGGCGCCAGCTGACATCTCCACCGCCTGATGGAGAAAGACGTGGTCTGAGCACAGGGCCTTAGAAAATCCTGGGTCTGGGGCCTCCGCTTTCCCGCTGAGCAGGCTGAGGAGAGCAGCCACGTGCACGTCATGCTCTGCAGGGAAATGCTGCCTAGGCGCGAAGGCGAAGGACCGCCACGCCTCCGCTCTCAGCCCCAGGAACCAGGCCAGGCCCCTGCGGCTCTCAGCAGCCCTTCTGTGCCCGATGCACGGGAACGGCCACGTTCTTCCGCCCTCAGAGGACCTACCAGGCGCTTTGCCACTCACCTGCCAGAGTCTTGCCCTTGCAGGCCCCCGTGGCTCAGTGGGGCAGGCCCCGCGTGTCGGCGATGCTCACGGCGCTGAACGTGGGGGTGCTGGAGAGCACAGGCAGCCTTTTACCAACACAGCCCCATCCCGGCAGCTGGCCATGACCAGCCCCCTCCCTGCTGCTGGGCCAGGGATGTAGCATGGCCTAGTGCAGGGGTGGGGAGCTTTTTTGGGGTTGGGGGCCACTGACCCACAGAAAACTCAGTCGGGGGCTGGGGGTGCCAGCAGGGCTCCCTATTGCCAGGGGAGGCCTTAAGCCTCGGGGGCCAGATCCAGGCAACCCAGGGGCTGCATCAGGCACCCGGGCCTGGGGTTCCCCACCCCGGTCTTGTGGGACGGGACCTTTCCTGGGGAAAGTGTGGGGTGGCCAGTGCAATCTGCCTCGTTACAGGCAGCGTCGCGGCGCCTGGCAAAGGCCCAGGGCTGCCGTCTGGGGGTCCTGGCCCAGCGGGTTTGGGAGTAGACAGGAGCCCACGGGCTGGGCGGGGGGGCTCTGCCAGCAGAACATGGTCCCTTGCAGGAAGTGGGGCTGAGTCTGGGGCAGCCCCCCGGACGGAGAACGCTCGGGGAGAAAGCCGTGGGGGTGCAGCGTGCATGGCCCAGTGGGACCGTGCTGCCCCCGGTCCCTCCCAGCTGGGATCCCCTTGGGAACGGGAAGGGCAGGGACGTCCAGATGCCAGAGCACGTCTGATCTCGCTGTGGGGCGCTCGCGCTGCGTCGGCAACGTGCTCACAGGAGACAGGGCCAGCGGCAGGCAGGGGCCGAGGAGAGAAAGCAGCAGGAAGGAGGCAGAGAAAAACGGGGCTGGAACAAGAAACCAGCCCCAATGGCCACGGGGAGGCAGGCTGCCCCAAACAGCCCCGGACCCTGTGAGTGTGAGGGGACTCATAGCCCCTTACTGAAACTCGGTGGGAGTTTTTGGTTCGCCAGCTCCCAGTGTCAAAAGGGGAAGGGTCCATGAGAAACCAGGGCCCTGAGACAATGGAAAGCAGCCAACACTCAGCTCGGCCTGATTGACAGGTTGGACAGGCCAGTGAGGAAAGTGAGAGGCCAGGCCCCATCCTCCCTGTGAGCTGAGCTTGTTCTGGGTCTCTCTGAGCAAGGGGAGAGCTGAGAGACAGCTAAGAGGAGCAAGCTGTGTAGAGAAGCAGTCCTGCAGCACCAGAGCCAGGCACACGCAGCCCAAGGAGTGCAAGCTGTGCTGAGGGGCAGTCCTGCAGCACCAGAGCCAGGCACACGCAGCCCAAGGAGTGCAAGCTGTGCTGAGGGGCAGTCCTGCAGCACCAGAGCCAGGCACACGCAGCCCAAGGAGTGCAAGCTGTGCTGAGGGGCAGTCCTGCAGCACCAGAGCCAGGCACACGCAGCCCAAGGAGTGCAAGCTGTGCTGAGGGGCAGTCCTGCAGCACCAGAGCCAGGCACACGCAGCCCAAGGAGTGCAAGCTGTGCTGAGGGGCAGTCCTGCAGCACCAGAGCCAGGCACACGCAGCCCAAGGAGTGCAAGCTGTGCTGAGGGGCAGTCCTGCAGCACCAGAGCCAGGCACACGCAGCCCAAGGAGTGCAAGCTGTGCTGAGGGGCAGTCCTGCAGCACCAGAGCCAGGCACACGCAGCCCAAGGAGTGCAAGCTGTGCTGAGGGGCAGTCCTGCAGCACCAGAGCCAGGCACACGCAGCCCAAGGAGTGCAAGCTGTGCTGAGGGGCAGTCCTGCAGCACCAGAGCCAGGCACACGCAGCCCAAGGAGTGCAAGCTGTGCTGAGGGGCAGTCCTGCAGCACCAGAGCCAGGCACACGCAGCCCAAGGAGTGCAAGCTGTGCTGAGGGGCAGTCCTGCAGCACCAGAGCCAGGCACACGCAGCCCAAGGAGTGCAAGCTGTGCTGAGGGGCAGTCCTGCAGCACCAGAGCCAGGCACACGCAGCCCAAGGAGTGCAAGCTGTGCTGAGGGGCAGTCCTGCAGCACCAGAGCCAGGCACACGCAGCCCAAGGAGTGCAAGCTGTGCTGAGGGGCAGTCCTGGTGCAGGGAGAGGCTCTGGGCAGGGAGATATCACCAGCCAAGAGGCCCAGCAGGCCAGACTGGGAGAGGGGTCTGGCCACTTAGAGCTTGAGGCTGTGTGGTCACTGCCAGAGCAAGCGTGTCCAGCCTGCAGCCCCCCTGCAGCACATCCAGGGCCTCTAAGGGGCCTCTAAGGAAGAGACTGTGAACTGTCCTTACACTCTGCAGGCTGCTGTTTTGATGTCCCTGTGCTACAGAGCAGAGCTGTGTGTTCTCATTTAACCATTCTCATTTTTTCTTATTCTTTTCTCTTTAATCAGTTGATGTTTAATAAATTGTATTTGCTTAGAACCTTATGAAATGATCACTGGGCCAAGAAAGCCTGCAGTGTGCAGAGAGCACCTCGGAGTGGGGACACCCTAACTCCTGCCCCTAGTGACTACAAGGTCAGGGATTAAGCCCCAGGAAACCTGGGCCCAGCCTCGTTGGGGATTCGAGGACTCTGCTACTCAGGAGAGTGAAGGGGAGCCCTCAGGATCAGGGAAGCCGTGGGGAAAAGGAAGTGGGAGCGGGGACTCGGATCCTTTCGCTGGTCCATTTCACTGGGGTGGTATAGAAGCCAGGAAAATTCCCCACAATAGCAGGACCATTCCCCTACTTACATGAGGTCCACGGCCAGTGCCAGCTACCCCACTCAGGGCACAGGCCGCTGAAGAACCAAGGGGGGGCCTTTCTTGTTCAGTGAGCACTGCAGAGGGGCACCCTTCTTCCGGGTCTCCGTAGCAACCCCCTCCCCCGAAAGGAGCTGGGGGGGCGCTTTGTCTTTTGCATTCATTGTCGGGAGCGGAGCACGTTCGCACACTGCATGCCCAGTGGGGTGCCGGGAGGGCGTATTGCGTTGGGGGCTCCCCTGCAGATAGCTCTGTACGTGCTAGTAAAATGCCTCAGTCGCTGTTCAGGGGAAAGGATTCGGCGTGCGGGGAAGGGTGGTGAGGGGCAGTTCCTGCTCGCAGCCTGGCCAGCTCCAAGCATCCACCAGGAAGGGCCCCGCGTCACGAGCAGGCTGCATTCTCCAAGGGGCCCAAGGGAGTTAGGTGCCCATAAGCTGTTACCAGTTCTCAGCCCCGTTGCTTCAGTCCCACCTTGCGGGAGTCAGGGATTAGGTGCGAGTCCTCGCGTTTTTGCCCTAACGAAGGAAGTTTCTAGCCCCCCCCGGATCTTAGAGGAACATTCAAAAACTTGAACCTTAAAGGTTCCAACACCTGAAGGAGGAAAAAACAAACAAAACCAGCCCCCCCCGCCCTCCCAGCGTGTGAATCTCGTGCTCCTCAGCCAGTGGGGGCAGGATTTGAGGCGCCCATGGGTGCCAGGGGGAATGGGGGCAGGATTTGAGGCGCCCATGGGTGCCAGGGGGAATGGGGGCAGGATTTGAGGCGCCCATGGGTGCCAGGGGGAATGGGGGCAGGATTTGAGGCGCCCATGGGTGCCAGGGGGAATGGGGGCAGGATTTGAGGCGCCCATGGGTGCCAGGGGGAATGGGGGCAGGATTTGAGGCGCCCATGGGTGCCAGGGGGAATGGGGGCAGGATTTGAGGCGCCCATGGGTGCCAGGGGGAATGGGGGCAGGATTTGAGGCGCCCATGGGTGCCAGGGGGAATGGGGGCAGGATTTGAGGCGCCCATGGGTGCCAGGGGGAATGGGGGCAGGATTTGAGGCGCCCATGGGTGCCAGGGGGAATGGGGGCAGGATTTGAGGCGCCCATGGGTGCCAGGGGGAATGGGGGCAGGATTTGAGGCGCCCATGGGTGCCAGGGGGAATGGGGGCAGGATTTGAGGCGCCCATGGGTGCCAGGGGGAATGGGGGCAGGATTTGAGGCGCCCATGGGTGCCAGGGGGAATGGGGGCAGGATTTGAGGCGCCCATGGGTGCCAGGGGGAATGGGGGCAGGATTTGAGGCACCCATGGGTGCCAGGGGGGATGGGGCCGCTACAGCCACCGGGGTCCAGGCACCAAAACAGAAGTTGACCCGAGCTGCCATTTCCCCAAGGCTGGCTCTTCTGGAAACCTTCCCAGCAGCAGCCCCTGCCCCATCCCACCCAGCACGTTCCCAGTCACGGGCCTTAGGCGCAGAGAGAGCAGAAACCACGTTTGGCAGAGGGCAGCTGGCAGAGCCAGGGGTGCCAGGCAGGAGGACCTGGCTCCCTGGCCCACACAGCCCATGCCACCCCACAGAGTCCTCGCCACCCCGCCCACTGCAAACACTAGGAGGGGTTGTATTTCCTCCTGGCAAACACTAACGGAGGGTACATCTACACCAGCCCCCTAGATCGATCTACGGGGCTAGTGTAGACGTATGCCTAGGGCCCGAGGGCCTGGTCTCTGGGGGTGGGAACTCCCACCCACAGAGAATCAACTGCAGGGTCAGGGGCCAGGCCCTGGGGTGTTCTGTGAAGGGCCAGTAATCACAGAACTGGGAGGGACCTCGAGAGCCATCGAGTCCAGTCCCCGGCCCGCACGGCAGGACCAGGCACCGTCTAGAGCATCCCTGACAGACATTGGTTTAGCCAGCGCTATAGCCGAGCAGCAGGCACTGAGCCCTGCTCACTGGGAAGAGCAGCTGCAGACCAGAGCGGCACACACAGCCTTTCACGCTCGCTTACTCATTCAGGCCTGGCTGGGGGCGGGTCTGTCTGAAATGGCTGTGGGTGGATCAGGCCAGCCCAGCTGTTCTGGGGCTGCAATCCTGAGCAGCTGGGAATACTGAGGGAGGGAAAATCACCCTGAAGTCATGTGACCGATCATGTGAGCAAGGCAGGCTATAAAAAGCAGCAGCTGGCCCTCACTCGGGCAAAGAAGGGAGTGGGAAAGCGCTGGGGTGGCTGGGCCGATGGAGACGCGTGGGCTGGGCGGGTTGCAGCAGTAAGGGCTAGTGGTGAAGCTGGCTGGGAGCATGCAGGGAAGCCCTGATCCGAGGGTGACTGCAGAGCTCCTGGAAGGGCCTCAGGGTGCCAGCTACGGGTGCTTCTGTTTCAGTAGGGGAGGCTGGGGCGATCGCACTCGGTGTGTGAGACTGGAGCTAGGCCTTGGAGAAGCAGGAACTCTGGGGGGCTACATGGGGGCCAGGGCCCTCAACCCCCAAAGCCAGGCACAGCCTGAGCAGAGAGGAAGCTCTGAATAGGCCGGCGAGGCTGAGCCGGAAGGGTGCCAGAGAGACAGCGCTGGCCATTGGGCCTGACCTCTGCATGCTAATGAGCATTAATCACTTCCTGCCTCCCCACTCCGGGAAGTGTTAATCTCCAAGGCGCAGGGGGAGTGGAGAGGGAGGGGGTGAGCGGGGAGCAGGGGGAGCGAGATGCAAGGCAGGTACCTGCTGTAGCCCATTTGCTTGCAGGCTGCTTTTGCCAGGGTCCTATCGAAGTTATCGTGACATGCCCAGAACCAGGCTCCGGTCTCTCTATCTAGCACCTGCAAGGCAGCTCTGTCTTGGGCTGTGCGGACTGGGGAGAAACACAGAGAGTCAGCCGCGTCGCAGGCCCCCTCCAGCCAGCTGCAGTTTGGCCCACGCGCCCCTCCCTGCTGCAGCCTTGGGCGCGGTGCTTTCTAAATGCAGCAAAAGGCTCTGTCTGCTCTAGCACCTCCCTGGCCTGCCCGCCCCCTGCCCCCAGCGAGGCGGCACACTCACCTCCCACGGGGGGACCGTCCGGTACGTGCTGCACGCAGTTCCCCTCGTCCTCGCCCCAGGGGCAGTCTGGCTGCCCGTCACACTGCTGCTGCAGGGGGATGAAGGTGAAGCTCTTGCTGCAGAGGAAGTAGTAGCGTTCCAGAGCTGCCTTGACTAGAGGGAAAGGGACAGAGGCCAACGTGGCTGGGGCAGAATCTTACACTCATAGAATCACAGGACGGGCAGGGACCACGAGAGGCATCGAGTCCGGTCCCCGGCCCTCCCAGCAGGACCCAGCACTGTCTAGAGCATCCCTGACGGGCGTCTGTCCAGCCTGCTCTTGGATAGCTCCAGGGATGGGGATTCCACAACCCCCAGGGCAACTTATTTCAGCGTTTAACCCTCCTGGCAGGACACAGTTTGAGCCCCTTGCTTCTTGTTCTAGCATCAGGGGTTAAGGAGAACAAGTTTTTTTCTTCTTCCTGGTAACAAGCTTTTGGATACTTGGCGGCCCAGGAGAACAAGTTTTCTCCCTCCCCCGTATAACACCCTTTGAGATACCTGAAAACCGCTATCACGTCTTCTCCTTTCCAAACTAAACAGGCCCAGTTCTTTCAGTCTCCCCCATAGCTCCTGTTCTCTGGACCTTTCACTAAACAAACCCAGTTCTTTGTCTTCCCCATAGCTCCTGTTCTCTAGACCTTACGTCATTCGTGTTGCTCTTCTCTGGGCCTTCTCCAATTCTCCACATCTTCCTTGACATGCGGTGCCCAGAGCTGGACACAACCCTCCAACTGCAGCCTGACCAGCGCAGAGTGGAGTGGAAGAGCGACTCCTCGTGGCTCCTGTTCATGCCTCCCAGAACCATGTTTGCTTTTTTGCCAGTGTCACTGCTGACTCGCATTTAGCTTGTGGGCCACTCTGACCCCTGGGTCCCTTTCTGCAGGACGCCGTCCTAGGCAGCCGCTTCCCGTTGTGTGTGTGAAGCGGATTGTTCCCTCCTCGGTGGAGCACTTTGCCCTTGTCCTTATTAAACTGCATCCTATTGACCTCACAGCATTTCTCCAGTTTGTCCAGATCAGTCTGAATTCTAACCCACCCTCCAAAGCCCTCAGCACCCATCCTAGCGTGGCATCAGCTGCCGACTGACAAGCACGGTGGCTTTCCCAGGGACCCCAGGCTGCACCGGGGCCCAGGGGGTCAGGGTCTGTACCCCTGGAGAAAGCCCCCCGCAGCCAGTGCTGGCTCTCGCGGCCTGAGGCACCAGGCGGAGCCCTGCCCCACCTAGCACATTCAACGTGGCCTCTGGACGGCCCGGGGACGCTAGTGTCCAGTCACACCCTGCTGCAGTCCCACTGCCTCCCTGGGGCAGCCCAGACGACCGGGGACCAGGCGCAGGGCGACACCTGCCATGGGGGGCGGAGCAGGGAATGAAGCCCCCCGAGGTGCCTGTCTGTGCCTGGCGGCCCCTCACTCTGCAGGGACACGTGCTGCCTCGCAGCGTGGCAGGGAAAGCTGGCCCGGATTCACGCCCGGGGCACAGGAATCCGCTGGCATTTGCCCAGGGCTGACTGGCTGCTTCCAAGAGGGAGGTGCTGGCTCGGAGGGGGAGGCCAGGGGTCCTCAGGCAGGCATCCCTGGGGGGCGGGCCTCCCCAGTGCCAAAGCTCACAGCTGTCTGGGACCAGTGTGTGCCCAGCAATCCCACCCCCGCAGTCCCTGCTCTCCTCCCCGGGCCGGGGCCGGGGCAACAGACAAGACTGCAGCTATCCCTGTGAGGGTAAGGAAACAACCTACTAGAGAACAGACTCCTTCATGAAACTTCGGCCTCTGTGCCCTGCCTGAAAGG